AAACACAATTTAAATAGATAATCAACCATGAAACGAAGTGGGGAAAACAATAGGAATCAAACAACGGAAAGCAAAACTGACAGCAACTTTAATGCCAAGGCGTCGAGTTTAAAACTGAGAGGCTACACGCAGTATTTAAATGATGGTGATCTTCTCCTGACCCTGAAAAGACCACAGAGATGGCACCTGGTGAACTTCTCAGAGGAGGGCTATAGTGACCATAAGTAGTCTGGAAATCAAACCTTGTGAGAAATGGTTGAGGGAAGAGGATATATTTAGCTTGGAGAAAAGAAGACTGAGAGCTGGAGAAGATTTCTTCAGATACTGTGGACTGCTAAAAAGACAAATAAATGGGTTGTAGAACAAATCAAGCCTGAATTCCCCCTAGAAGCCAAGATGACTAAACTGAGATTTTCATACTTTTGACATATCATGGGAAGACATGACTCACTAGAAAAGACTATGATGTTTGGAAAGGTATAAGGTACTAGGAAAAGAAGATCACAACCAAGATGGATGGAGTATATCAGACAAGCCACAGGCCTGAGTCTACAAGACCTGAGCAGAGTAAGCAGAGGATAGGGTGACTTGGAGGTCTCTCATTCATAGAGTCACTGTAAGTTGAAGTACATTTGACAGCAGTTAGCATCAGCAAATGATAGTTTTCTTTCCAAAAAGCTGTAATTTAGAAGGTGGAGCAAGGTTGTTTTCTCTTACTCCAGAGAATAGGACATGAACCCATGGATTCAAATTATAAGCACTGAACTTTAGGGAGACTTTCTTGATGGTAAGAGCTGTTTAACAGTAGAATACACCGCCTTGGTGGAGTCCTCTTCTTTGAAAGTCTTTAAACAGAGGTTAGATGGCCATCTCTTAGGTGTGTTTTAGTTGTGACAGGAGATGGCACTACATAGTCCTCATGGTCTCTTCCAACTCAAATATTTTACTATTCTAGCCATGCTTATGTCTATGTGTTTTGTTCTCCTTTGTTCTCCTTGTACTATTTACTGTTAGTACTGGAAAATCACTTTCCAAGCCTGCCATGTCAAGCATCATCTAATTATTATTATTATTATTATTATTATTATTATTATTATTATTATTATTATTATTATTATTATCATCCCTCCCCTCTGCGGACACAACCAGGGCAGCTTACAACATAAAAGTAATACAAATGCAATACAAATCCCACAAACCCACTCACCCTTAAACTAGAATGACATGATAAAAGAATTTAAAACATACTCAAAATAAGTCAAAGAACACCAGGCAACAATAACTGTGGCAGAGTTTGGTAGAGAAATATGAATTAACTCTTGGAGCTGGGATGTCTATTCAGGAAAGGTCATCTAGCCTCTGTTTAAAGTCCTCCAAAGAAGGAGACTCTACCACACTCCAAGTAAGTGTGTTCCACTGTCGAGCAGCTCTTACTATCAGGAAGGTCCTCCTAATATTGAGGTAGAATCTCTTTTC